CTATATTTTTAAAAATAATTATTACATTTTTTAAAACTATTTTAAAATAATTTTTTTAATCATTTTTTAAATTATTTTTTTCGAAAAATAGGAAATTCTGTTTCCATATTCATTTATTACTACACTTTGATTTAAAATTTAAATAGACATTCATTTATTTTAGCATGATGTTTTTGCATATAATTTTATATAATTGCATGTTGAATAAATTAATTATACGTGTAATAATTAATATTTTCTAATTTGTATATGGAAGTCTTTTTAAGCCCCGCCCCCCCTCCCCCCCGAAAAACAATAAATTATTTATTTATATCTTAAGATTCATTCAATTATATAATTTTCATAAAAAATATTTTTTGTTGATCAATATCCATTTCTACCACAATGTAGATTAACTTTAATCTTGATTTAACTTACTGTTTATCTTTTTCTTAGAATTAAAAAAAAATAAAAAGTAAGTTGAAATTAAATTTATTTTATATTGAAAGAAGCGAAAGAATACTAAATAAAATATCATTTATTGACGATTGTTTTAGCATTTTTGTTAATACTTATAATTAGGTATATGTTCTTCTTTTTAACTTCTCGTTTAAACTTTCCTAAACATCGAGATAAGATCGGAAATAAACTTAATAATGACAATTAAGAAACTTTTGTTCGAAATTTGCAAAAGTTGCGTTACATTGCCTACTTTATTCAACACGAGGACTATTCAATTACTTTTCTTTTTTTTAACACTCTAACATGTTTTGAAATTGTTTAACTTGAAATGAGAAAAGAATCTCTTTTAAATAATTATAATACAAATATAATTTTTTAATTATTTTTAAATTTTTTCACTCGCTTTGTTTAAGAGTTTGAATAATTTTTAAAAACACTTTTTTATAAATCAACATTTATCAAGATAAAAAGATGCAATATTCTATCGATAAAATAAAAATTATTTTAATTACATTGCTCGTAATTTTTTTAATTGCTTATTTAAAATTATTTCTAAAATTATTTATAGTATATTTTAAATTATTTATAGAAGAAAATGTTATTTTTCTTTAAGCTTGTGTGGTAAATAATCATTGTCGGGATGAATTCAATGAAGCATATAAGATCATTCAGGTTTCTTTTTATTTAAATAGTATCTAGATATAATTAAAAACATATTTTTTAAAATTTTAGTAGTAATAAAGGTTCTCGGTGAAAGTTGTTAAAATCTAGAATATAAAAGGAAAAACGTTTGGAAAGCACAATACCTAAATAAACTTAATAAAATTCCTATTTTATTTGACAATAAATACATAAAATAAAAACGAATTCGTAAACATAGATAAAATTTTTATCTTTTTAAGATTCCCATTCTTTTTTATTCATATGTAGATTCTTTTGTAGAACTTCACTTCATTAATCTTAATTTATGCGCTAAGCAGTATTCAAACTTTTGAAAATGATTTCCATTATGCGGACACTATTTTTGCTATTCATTTAACAATAATTTTCTGAAATATTTTTTTAAGAGATTATATACATTTGAAAGGTAAAAAAATATATTAATACTTGTAAACTTCTTCTAACAAATATTAAAATTGTATTTAAGTAAGGTTTAAAATGTTAATAACATTGAATTAAAGATTTAATTTCATTTGGAAGGAATATTATTATTTCAATTTGATTGTGCTGCAAAAGCAAAAGTAATTGGCGCGCAATCAAATATCTGAGATAAAAATTATTTAAATATACATAGATATTTTATTCCAACACTTTGAACTTATTAGTATTAATATTAATTAGTATTAATATTAATTCTTACTTTGAACAGCGTTTCTCGTACTTATTGTTAATTGATTCATTCGCATAAGCGATCTTGTATTCTACAATAATTTTAATATTGTGTTTGTAAGTCTTAATAAAAAAAAGTACGCGTATACATTTAAATAGACAATAATATAAAATTTATTTAAAAAATGTGAATAAAAGATGAATAGGTTGCAAGGTTCAGATTTATCTATGTAATATTTCTTATATAGATTATATTTTTAGGAATGCGCGCGTTTTGCTGCAAATTATATTGATACTGACCATATGTTTAAAAAGAAGCACTTGCATTCCTTTCTTTTACAGAAATAGAAATGCTTAATTTTTGTTGTCATTGTGTACACAATATCGATTATATTCAAAACTCTGGAAAATCCATCGTAAGGTCAAAGAGGCAAAAAACACATTCATTTTACACATATCTGTCTCTTTGTTTAAAAAAGGAAGGGAAGATTCTTAAGTTCTCTTTCTTCGGTTAAAGTCAAAGTAACAATGGTGCAATCGGACTTAAGTGACTAGACTTCAGAATTGACATGCAGGTATAAGACCTTTGTGTTTTTTTGTCTCTTTAACCCTTAGTAACGGACACATTCCGTTATTTTTGAGAAATTTAAAACGAGAATTTCTAGACTAATTATAATTTGAATAAAAATATATTAAATCGATTGTGTTTAAGGCAAACCGTTTTAATAACATAAAATAAATTTTGTCTAATGTAAAACTTGTAAAAACTATCTAAAGAGAATTTCGATTCTTATTAGTGAATTAAGATCATATGACATAGGTAATTCTCTGAATTAAAATTATGCATAATAGAAATACGGAATTATTTTTGTGTCTCAACATATTTTAATTCATGAAATTGTTTACTATGCAACATAATTTCACATTCTTTAAAAAAATTTTAATTTTTTTAGGATGTCTAGCCTTAAATCCTAGAATTATTCTGGAATTTAATACATCCTAGAAAAATACTGGAAAACCCTTACTTTTCCATGTCGATTAATTTTCATTACTTAATTAATTTTTATTATGATTTTTATTTTTTATTTATTTAATTATTTTTTATTATTCGCACCATTATATTATAATGTTTTGTGAATCCAAGTTAGGATTCTACATAATAAATGTTAAAATAAAAAAAATTTGGACTAATATTATATACACTATCGCATAAAATTCATCAAACAAACATTCAACACAACTAATTCAACAAAAAAATTTGGATTTATTATCTACAATTATAAAATAGAATATAGCAGAGAAATTATCCTTTATGTTGAATATTTATTTGATATTATTCACAAAAGCAATATAAATAATATTATTCCAAATTTGTTAAAGTTTTAAGTTATTCATATAGAATCCTAACTTGTATACAAATCATATAATATTGGGGGAACTGATGAAAATTAATTAAATAATGAAAATTAATCGATGGATATATAAATCCTGGGAAAACTATAGGATTTTTACTTGAAATTATTCTTGAATTGAGTAATCAGATTTTGCTGGACATCATGATTTTGAATTTTCGTTGCACATTTCTGGTGTTAAAAAAAAGTTATTGAAAAAACAATTTTGGAGTGAGTAATTTCACATTAGTCTGCCAACCACGAACAAATTAGATTTATTTAGTCTCAATTGATGTATTATGATTTGCATATTTTGAAATAAGTTGATTTTTTGTTCACACATTTTTAGCTAAAAAGTTATTAACAATTAAATATATAAATATACATACACATATATAAAGAAAAGGAAATAAATCATTGTAAAAGATGTGAGATTGTAATGTCAAATAATAACAAAACTTTGCAACACATTTTCTGGTAAAGTCATATTTTTTATTTTTAGGTTCGTTTTTCTTTAAAATTACCGATCTTTAGTTTTTTAAATTTCTTTAGAAATGAATAGATTATGATTTCATCATTTAATTTTAAAAAATTTTATGATAAAAATTATAATTATTTTATCAAAAATATAAAAACATTTACTTCTTCTTAAAACTATAATTAAACATATAAGCATTTACAAAATATTATTTCTTTATTAATAAATATTTATTTGCATAAAAAATTTCAGAATTCACGGCTGATGGATATATTTGACAATATTTCAGCAGGGGATTTAAACTCAGTGTACAATTCCATTTGTAATAATCAAGAAAAGTAAGTATTTTTATTCAAGAATGTTATATATATGATAATTGTAACAAATGTACAATCTGTAAATACATTTAATTATTTTTTTTAGTAACGAAACGTTTAGCAACGAAACAACTAAGCTTGTTGAAGATCTGCTTACAACCTCGCTACAGGTTGGAAGTTTTTCTTTATAATGAATGAATATTGTATATGAATTCCATTGTTTAAGAATTATACAATATAATAATAAAATGCTTTTCTTCAATCTACAGTCATTATCTCAAGAGGATTTCTTAACGACACCTAGCAAGGACATATATATATATCAAGATATGATTGAAATAAATAAGAAATCTAGTGATTTAAAATTAAAGGAAGAAAAACAAGAAACTGGTTTGTAATCAATAATTGTTAAGTTTTTTGGTCAATTTTGATAAAAAAATAATACATTTTTCTTTCATATTTTTAAAGGAGCTGCATCTAAAATATCTGGTAATACAGTAAAAATGAAAATAGAGGCTGAGCAAGAAAATTTTACTAAGCAAGAAAATTTTACTGAACAAGAAAAGGACGAAGTATTTAAGCCTTCAACACGTAATACTCTGCCTATATTGTCTTACGTAAAAAATAAAAATAAAGCAAATATCAAGACAAAAAATCAAAATGCAAAAGGGAAAAAGAAAACGAAAGAAGATATAATACCAATTAAAAATACAATAACAATTAAAAAAGTTAAAGCAGAGGAGCAAGAAGATTGTGTAGATGTTGAAACAATACCACGAGATGAAATACCAAGTAATTAAATCAATTTAGATTTATATCAAACTATTAAATAAATATTAGTATTGTAGCATTTTACTGAGATTTATTTTTTGTTAGTACTAGAAGCACACGATACAAAAAGTTTGTTAGAAAAATTTGAGGCTTGCGAAAATCCAAATCCATGCAATAAATCGATCGTTAAAAATGATCATACATATGACACTAGACCAAACAAAACATGTCAAGTGTCTCAAGAGTGTAGGGCTAACATATCGGAGAAATCTATTTCTCAAGTTTTTAATCAACAGCCCTCAATCTTATCTAAAAAAACAATAAAACTCAATAAAACAAAGGTTATTTATTATTTTAATAAATATTTTAATATTTAAGTAGGTTAGTATATGACCTAATTATGATTATTTTGTTAAACTTTAGATGTTAGAACGTAGAAAAACTAGTCCGAAAATTGCTATGCCAAATATACAAAGTACTAAACGTAAAAGTACACAAATGCAAGACAGAGTTTTCTGTAACAAGATTTTGAAGATAGATTCTACAGTAAGTCCTTTCCTTAAGTATTATGACATGATTTGAATATGTATGTGCGCGCATCTATTTTTCACATATCCACTATTATTGCAAAATGTTGGATGTAAAATAATCCATCATTAATTATAACACTTTTTAGGTATCGAATGATGCTAAAAGTACAACAGTCAGTAGAACTTTGGTACAGTTGGATCACGATTATTGTAACAATGACAACTTTTGTACCAAGAGCTACAATAGCAACAGTAAGTACGATAAGTAATAAAATGGATAGGGAAGAGTGGGGACCCTTGGACAGTCGGGAAGATTGGACATTACCTTTTTAAATCTCCCACCTTAGGTGGCATCATCTAGGTCCAATGAATGTGATTAATAGATATCTTTTTAAACCCTTTTTATAACTTTTATTTGAAACATTTTTCTCAAAAATGCTTACTTTTCAAGATATTTTAGGGATTTTTTGTATATCCTGTATATATTAAAATTGGTATAATATAATATATTAAAATTATATTAGTCTAGTTAGTGTATATACCTATATTTATTAAATATTTATAAATATGTTCCTTTTGTGTGTTACCGTTAAATTATATTAAAAAATTTAGTTTTCTTACAAAATTCCAATAAAACAAAAAAAGAATCCTGGGGTGTTTTGTAGGTGAGTAAAACAATGTCAACCGCGACGTAAAGTTTAGAAGAATGTCACTGTGACTGTAGCCGTCACGATGGCAATACTGATGAGTAACATCAACAATGCAACGCGTGATTACGTTTATATACTTATGCTGTTTTAGAATTTGAATATCGAAAAGTAAATATTTTGTGTGTATTTTTGTCTAATTCTATTATTCAAAATTAAACAATTTTGGATTTTTTAAATTTAAAATTAATTACAAAATGAAATGGGCATATAAGAATCAAGCGCAGTAGTATTAGAGCGCAAAAATCTTTTTATTCTTAACATTACTTCTTATAAATTGATAAACGTTATGGTTTCCTTCTGAGCCATCATCAGTGTACAAAACCTGTGCTTATTTTTCAAGTCCCTTATGGGGAAGTATGTGAATTTCATTATTATTATTATTATTATATGTCCATTATTATTACTTTGCATTTACATAAAATTATATTGTCACAATAAAAAATGGGTGTTTTATGTATAATGTGAGCTAATTTTCGGGCTTTAAGCTAAAAAACTTGAACGATCATTTATTTAACAATATAGTGATTGGGAGCACTAGTTGGTTAGAGAGGTTCGGGCATGCCCAAATCTGGCTCTGTTTGCGCTTTTTGCATTCAGTATCTTCGCAGTTTCTTTTCTTCAACGCTATTTTTTTTTATAAACATTTAAGATTTTCCTAAAATGTCCGAGAGCCACTCTTCCTTAAGTAATAAAAATAGAAAACTATCTCTTAATTAATGACAATTAAAATGTACCTATGTATATTAGAAACTACAAAACATACATCTGTATTAAAATTGAGCCAAAATGACAATCTAGATGGTCTCAATCAACACGAAAGGCACTACAAGACTGACAGTTCATATGAACAGTGCCACCTGGAATTTGCTAATATATATGACGGTAATGGAAAACCAGCAGTCTTACAAAATGAAATCGAAGATAATTGGCTTGAAAATGATCATAAATGCTGTCAAAAAGAGACTCCTCTCAAACACGCCATCGACTTAAATAATTCATCTGTTAGAAATATAAATATTTCAAACGTATCTCCAACCGTCACACCTCTTCTCGATTCTATTCGTTCACCTTTAGCTAGAAAAATCATCCTGCAATCACAGAAATATATATTACCTAAAACGAATAGTATACAAACGAATCCTAAAACGCAATATATTTCCGTATTAAAGAATCCACCAAATGCATCACAATCACAGTTCTCAATAAATAATCCTAATGAAAATATGGTAACCATTATGAATAATTCAAATAATAAAGTACAAAATATAATTGGACAAAATACTCAAAACATGCCACCACATGAAGAAGACAAAACATCTCGTGTTAAAATTAGTGTATTAGAATATCGAAAAAGAATACTGAATGATAAGACTCGTAATAACAAATGCATGATAATGGAAGAATCATTTCGAACTATACTAGTGGATATTTATCATGCTTCAACTATGACACTACCACTCGGACCTGATCAAGAAATAAAGGATACGTTTTACTGTCAGAGAGAAGTTATGCCATGTTGGAAAAAGCAATCAGATATACAAGAAGAAAAAAATAAGCCAAAACCATCTACTCGCGATGTACAAACAGAAACGGACGAAAATATTTTTAAATATTTAAAATCAGTAGATGTTGAGGAGGAAGAGAGAGATGTAAAAATTGTAGAGATAAACAAAAAAAGGTAAGATATTAAATTATTATTATTAATCTTAAAATTTATCGGATTTCATGATGAAAACCTTCTTATTCGAATATATCAAAACCACTTGTTCCAATAATGCAAATAATTTAGTAAAAAAAAATTTTTTTATAATTTGTTCAATGTAATGATATTACGAATAATTACACATACGTTTTAAAAAAGATCTTTCGATTTCAGATCAGTTTTAAATATTTAGTCCTTAAAATATTTGGTCCTTTTTTTTTTTAAAAATCATGAAATCTTACGAGAACTTTTGCATTCTAATTATATTATAATAATTTGAATCACAATAGGGAAGAAAGTACAAAGAATAAAAAACAGAAATCCTGCGAAAGAGTCTCTCACAGTTTGAGTCGATCTAGATCAAAAAGCAGAAGCAGGTGTACGACAAGCGAAAGCAGTAATGAGAGTAGAAATAGAAGTAGGAGTAAGAGTAGAGACAGAAGAAGTAAAAGCAAAAGTCAAAATCGAAGCAGAAGGAGAAGTAGAAGTAAGAGCAGGACAAGAAATAGGAACAGAAGCAGAAGTGTTAGTACAAGCACAAGCAAAAGCCGAAGTAGCAGCAAAAACAAGAGTAGCAGTAGGAGTAGGAGTAGATCTCGAATAGATCGACGCAGCAGCCGACGAACAATAAGTCATCGCACGCGACGCAGCTCTGTTACCTCAACAAGCAGTTGGTCGTCTCCTGCATCTATTTCAATGAGATCAAAGCATTCGTATTCAAGTTCTAGCTCTCGATCTGACATCCGATCTAGATCTAGATCTCCCGAACGGTTTTATTCTAAACGATCAAGGTATATAACCAATTCATTCCAATCAGAATTATATGTATAATAAATAAAATCGATAATACATTAGCTTACAAATAAGATTAATTTGAATAAAATTCTTATAAAAATTATGTCAATAGGTCTCCCTCGACTTCGAATCTTCGAAGAAATAAATGGTCTAATAAACGAAGAAAGGATAGTAGGGATCGTGAAAGAAGTTATGATAAATATGACAGACGCGAAAGAAGTTATGATAAATATGAGAAACGTTCCTTAACCAATCGTCATGTCAATAGAAGTTATAGGTAAAACACATTTTTCGAGATATAAAGATGCAATTTGACATTGAAACAAATATTCATCTAACAACTTTCTTACTATATAATTTACTACATTTTACCCAAATATAAATAGCCAATTCTAATTACCAATTCTAATCGCCAATTATCATCTTATTTCCACAATGTCTTAAGATTATAATTGATTATGTGTATAATTAAATAATTATATATATAATTATATTATGATTTAATAAAAAATGTTTATAAAATTTACATATTTACATATTTGCAAAAAATTAGGAAAAAATAAAGAACTTATATTTGGAAAATAAACTTTTCAATTATTGTTAAGATTAATAGATATATATTTAATGAAATCCCCGATATATAGCTTTTAATCAATTTTATAATTTGTCTCTAGTAGATCACCATTAGATTCTTGTTCCGAAACTTACGATGATTGGCACAACAGAAAAAAGCAAAGAGAAATAGAAGAACGAAGAGTGGTATATGTAGGGCGTATAGATGAAGGAATTACCAAATCTGATCTACGTAAAAGGTTTGAGATTTTTGGACCTGTTGAAGATATCAGTGTACATTTTCGTGAACATGGGTATGTATCTTCACTTATATTCACTTTATTATTATTATTTTTTAATTATATTATTCTCATACTACAATTCTTACAATTTCTATAATCTGGGATATTATTTTAGCGAAAACTACGGTTTTGTCACTTTTCTATATAACAATGATGCTTACGAAGCCGTGGAACATGGTAATGACAATCCGTCTTTACCCGAATATACTTTATCTTTTGGAGGTCGGAGAGCGTTTTGCAAATCCAAGTACGCCGATCTGGGTAAGATAATTAATTAACATATCATACATATATATGTATGTACGTGTCAAAATTTTATCTTCTTTATTTATGATAATTATATTTTTTTGACACAGACAATGTAGAAGATGGTGCCCCTAAGAGGAGGCCTCACATAAATGAAGACATGTCCTATGATTATCTCTTAAAGTCAACAGCATATATGCTCAAAAGAAAAGTTTGACATACGTATTGTCTAATCGTTTTAAATTTAAACAATAGATTGATTGTTATTAAAGTAAATTTTTTAGAGAAAGAAACACACCTGTATCAATGCTCATATACAGTGTGTTTCAGTGCTACTCTTTTACTATAACAAATAGTAATTAGGAATATAAAAATTATAAATACATTAGGAGCATTTGAAATTTTTAATTATCCAATGCTTTATTCAAATTTTTTAGTCTCATCAGATTTGTTTCCACAGCTTGCCAAATTTTCTGAAAAAAAAAAAGATACATTTTAATGATTTTCTCATGTAATATATCTCGTTATGTAAATACGGATAATTGAAAATATTCAAGTTACAATCGCACTGAGCAGGTACCTGATCTTGTTGAATACAGAGAGTCTATGTAGAAGAGAATCGCCAACTAATCACGTGATCTTGAGCAAAAATTATTTCAGCTAAGCAGAAAACCTATTCATTACTCCAGGCAATAGAAAAAGTTAGATGATTCTATTGGCGCCGCTCTCCCTTTAGACTCTTTAGTTAAAAATAAATGAACTCGATTCATCATGCTATCTGCCTATTTCTAGAAAGAATGATGTGACGAGAGGCAAAATTTGCCTTTATATATACAATATATATTTAAAAATTTTCGGAAACGTTAATAGTAGTAGTTAATGAAGGACTGGTTTATATAGATATCTTTTAAACGTTTTGTCTACAGATTCCATCTACAACAAATGCGGATATGCAATTTGCAAATATGAAATTCGCGACTAAAATTTCTATAGCAAAAAAAACTCGAAAAATTAAGTCAAAAAGTTATTTATAAAGTTTTATTTTAAACAGTAGTTTTTGAGATAATAATAGTATATAAATAAATGTGGCCAATTATAGATTACGTATCGAAGACAAATTTCTTAAATTACGGCTGAACTATTGAGAAAATTACAATATAATTATGATATTCATAATCAAGAGAATTGCCTACATCTTGCTAAAGAATGATATTTTAAACAAAAACACAAAATAGGCATTTTTAATATCTTATTTAATGTGTATTGTAGTATAGCTGAAGTACAGATAATCTTATTTATTATAATATTTCAAGATTCAAAATCCGATTCTTTAGTAAGCTTCATAGCTTCATAAAACATCCAATACAAGTTTTGTGGCCAAATATTTCTTTGACAAAACAATACATGATAGAATATATATATATAGATATATATTTATTCCCAATTAAAATGTAAATAAATTTTCTTATCGCCGATTCTTAAACACTTAGTCTATAATTTACTGTATTTAAACTCATCTAAAAAATTATTGTTTATAATATAAATTTACAAATAACTTTTTTACTTAATCGTTTGAAAATTTTCTTGTTGTAGTATTTTAATTTCTGGACACCTGTATACATGAAAATTAGATAATTTTAGCTAGAATATTTTAAATATATAAATTCAATTTTTTTTTTTACAAATTCTTTGACGTTAATTCAAATATTATTTATTGCTTCCTTCATGATTTCTTATATATTTATTTTAAATCATGATATCAGATATTTTTCACATATTATTCATCTCTTTATATATCTTTTTCGCAATTACAAAAATAAGTCAAGAATTATTGTCATTATTTTATCAAATATAGAATTTGATTATTTAATGTGTATTTATCTGATTTTATTTAATTATAATGAATGATGACAAAAAGAACAAGTTTGATAAGTTAATTAAATTACATATATCAAATATGTCATATATTTGGCTTGACATAAAAGTCTACTACTACTGTAAACCGAATTTTTTAATGAAATGTAAGCGTTTAGTTCATCTTCATTAATTCATTATTGTATATTATATATATATAATGTTTCTTATACGATTAATCATTTACTGCCAAGATTAATTAAAAGCAATCCAGCAAAAATAAAATGAGATAATCTCTCTTCAAAAAAATTGAAGAAATTTTATCAAATAAAGAAACTTATTGTAATTTCTTAATTAAATTTGTGCAGATATATGACCGAACATATTGTTAATAAATGCATATTAAAAATCATACGTATGATTATTATGATTACTACCTTCAACATTTTTTTATTCGTTTCTCATCAAAGCGTTTCTATATTCTTAATACCGAAATCGAAAGTAAAAACAAAATTTATAATCGAATTATTTATCTTTACACTTACTTAATGTATTATTAGGTAGTAATGATAACTTTAGGATCGTAAGCAGTTGATAGTGTATACTCGAAATTCTTTATCATCTAAAGACGTAAGAGTGAGCGTCGCTTCATACAATGAAGGAGTTGTTGGTAAAATATGTACGATCATTGGAACTTGCTGATTAGATAGTCTCACATCTAGACATATATATATTATAAAGAAAAAACTTTCATTTGGAAATATATAAAATATAATTTATACATTACATAAGATATGTGTAAATTGAAATATATACCTACATATTAAATATTAAATGTATATAGGGAATGAAAAAAAGATATATCTTAAAATTATACTATCGGATGTAGGAAAAAGATGAAGAAATAGTAAAATAAAAAAGAATTAATTTATTTTATGTAATATGAGAAAAATGCTTCTTAATTAAATAAAAAATAAAATACATCCTATTCTCTTGCATTTCTAAAATTTAATTCTTGAATTCTCTCTTTTAATCTTTTATGATTCAAAAATTATATGGAGAACATTTTAGTTACATAAGTATTAATTCTAAATTATCTAAAGAGTTTATAGCTAAATAATAACTGATAATATTTCTGTATTTTCGAAAGAAATAGTAAAAATAAATTCTTTTGCAGAGTGGCCTTTCAAATGAATTATTCTATGTAAATAGTAAATAAATTTATGTCCTAAATCTTACTTACCTTGTATAGTAAAATATTGTGGTAAAATAAGAGGACTTGATTTATCCGAAATTGTAACTTTATATGTCACTGCGGTGTTAAAAACATGCACAAATTCTAGAGCTGCAGAATCAATGTCACTTGTCATCAACCACTTTATTAATCGTAGCTCGAGGTAAGTATCTGAAAGCAACAAATAAAAACTGAGAAACAAAGCAAGAACATAAATGACAATTGTCCTGTAAAATAAATATATTAGAGTTATAAATGGATTAAGATTCGGTAAACAAGCGTTTTTAGATGTTATTTGACGTACTCGAGTATTTGGACCAGAATAGGTGTTCTCGCGGTTCGAGAGTTTTTTTAAACATTTCAGTTACACATCTCCGAAGCTGATCATTACAGGATGGTATAGGTATGCTGATATTAAATGGGCAAGAATCTCTTACGCCGCTTCGCTGATTTGAGCAAACGCATTCTCCTTGAGCTGCCCACTGGACAACGATGCGATCGTTAATTGACCTTTGCCAAATCGAATTTATCTGTTGCGATCAACAAGAAATGTCTAATTTTACAAGATATCAAATCAACGCCATTTTCTCAGAGCCTAAATACGTTTTCTCCACAGTTTGCGCCATTTATAGACGACCTCGTACTTCGGTGTGCCGTAAAACAATTCCTCGTACTTGTCAAGTACTTACTTGAATAATAAAATCACCCGTTTTTGCTTGGAAAATCAACCAAAACGTTCGTTGCTTAGGTGCGATACACGCCACACTGATTGATAAATTTGCCATTAATGCACTCTCGGCGACGACTATTGATTCTTGATTCAAGAAAAGTCTTCTTGGTATTTTCCTGGCTCGCAATTCTCGCCATCGCGTCATTTTTAGAGTCGCTAAAAACATTCGAGTTACGATATAT